AAATGTACCCAAACGTAAAAATTGACTCCAAAAATATACTGAAATTGACATAAAAACTGACTCCAAAATGTACCCAAACGTAAAAAATGACATCAAAAATATACTCAGATTTACGCCATAACTAACTCCAAAAATGTACTCAGACGCAAAAATTGACTCCAAAAATATACTGAAATTGACATAAAAACTGACTCCAAAATGTACCCAAACGTAAAAAATGACATCAAAAATATACTCAGATTTACGCCATAACTAACTCCAAAAATGTACTCAGACGCAAAAATTGACTCCAAAAATATACTCTTATCTAGTGCGAAAATGAGCTTGCAGCAAATTGTTATATATTAAACAATCTGTACATATAATTCTATATTACGGGTGGAGACACCTTAATAAATAGAATATTTGTTTATTTATTTGAAAAATGAATAAAGAACGAAAGATGCTACGTTTTAACTATTACGTTTTACGTTTTAACTATTACGCTTTAAAGGTAAATAAAACGTGTATATATTAGACGACTTTGAAATTTCATTATTGTTAATGTCCTATGAATGAGAAATAGAGGTGCCCATCTCTGTCGTTTCTACATCGGGTGGTCTGTTGTGTTTACGTTTAACCCACGAGTAAGTGAGTTGTAGTTCTACTCGATTTGCGAGTTGTGGTGACAGTTTTTGAAACCATTGTGGGCGTGTCCGTGTTCATCCATCATTCGGAAGTGATGCACGAGAGTTCTTGGATGTAAAGAAGAATTTTTCGATACATGAGTTGTTGTTTTTTTCTTAGTAGGGGGAATCCTTTTCCATAAAACTTTAAGTATTACGTTTGAGGAAAACAAAGAGTTTTATAGCTGCCAGAATACTTTTATTTGTTTGTAAAGGAATTTCATGCTATAAACTAAAATAATAGAGACACGAAATGAGGAGCAGGTATCAGGTTCTCTTTACGGATTTTTGTGACACAAACAGTAAATATTACGAATATTGTTGTGCTGTAAATGTAACTGAACAGATTTTTCTAACTTGAAGCATTAGATATCTTGATTGGAAAATTTCTTTAGACATAATCTTAATATTGATTAACACTATTTCTGCAGACTTACAACGCTATAATGCGGGTTTCGATACCCGTGGTGGGCAGAGCACAGATAGCCCTTTTTTTAAATTTGTCTCACGAAATGTTAATATTCATTTATTCAGGGTCTTTGTGTTTATCACTCAACAATAAAACAATGTAACAAATTTGGAAGTTACGATTTTGTTTGTTTGTTTATAGTTAAGCACAAAATAAACGAAATCAGAGAAATAGGTCGTCGACAGGGTAACCAATGTGTATGAAAGATGTTAAGATATTGACCAAATAAAAGGTGATGAATAGAGTTACGAAATCCATCATTTGGCTGTGATTGTTTAGGGGACATTTGGTTAACTAGAGGCAGCGCTAAGAAACCATCATTTGGCTGTGATGGTTTAGAAGACATGTTGTTAACTAGAGGCAGTGTTATGAAACCATCATTTGGCTGTGATGGTTTAGAAGACATGTTGTTAACTAGAGGCAGCGCTAAAAAACCATCATTTGTCTGTGATGGTTTAGAAGCCATTTTGTTAACTAGAGGCAGCGCTAAGAAACCATCATTTGGCTGTGATGGTTTAGGGGACATTTGGTTAACTAGAGGCAGTGCTATGAAACCATCATTTGGCTGTGATGGTTTAGGGGACATTTGGTTAACTAGAGGCAGTGCTATGAAACCATCATTTGGCTGTGATGGTTTAGGAGACATTTGGTTAATTAGAAGCAGCGCTAAGAAACCATCATTTGGCTGTGATGGTTTAGGGGACATTTGGTTAACTAGAGGCAGTGCTAAGAAACCATCATTTGGCTGTGATGGTGTAGAAAGAAGACATTTGATTAATTAGAGGCAGCTTTATGAAGCCATCATTTGTCTGTGATGGTTTAGGAGACATTTGGTTAACTAGAGGCAGTGCTAAGAAACCATCATTTGGCTGTGATGGTTTAGGGGACATTTGGTTAACTAGAGGCAGCGCTAAGAAACCATCATTTGGCTAAGATGGTTTAGGGGACATCTGGTTAACTAGAGGCAGTGCTAAGAAACCATCATTTAGCTGTGATGGTTTAGGGGACATTTGGTTAACTAGAGGCAGTGCTATGAAACCATCATTTGGCTGTGATGGTTTAGGAGACATTTGGTTAATTAGAGGCAGCTTTATGAAACCATCATTTGCCTGTGATGGTTTAGGAGACATATAGGTAACTGGAGGCAGCGCTAAGAAACCATCATTTGGCTGTGATGGTTTAGGAGACATCTGGTTAATTAGAGGCAGCTTTATGAAACCATCATTTGCCTGTGATGGGTTAGGGGACATTTGGTTAACTAGAGGCAGCGCTAAGAAACCATCATTTGGCTATGATGGTTTAGGGGACATTTGGTTAACTAGAGGCAGCGCTAAGAAACCGTCATTTGGCTATGATGGTTTAG